CTGTATATGTATGTCTATGTATATCGATGTCAATATGTGTGTATTGTTGGGGGATCAGAAAACAATACCCAAAAATGAAGGCCTCAGAATCAGCATTAAAAGCAAAAGTTTGTCTGTGACCTTTTCCTGTCCTCTTGTCTTTCAGTCCCATTTATTTCTCAAGGCTAGCCAGAGAAACTAGAATCCCTCTTTCCTTAGGCAGGTCATAAAAACCAGAACTCCTTTTCCCCATAGATAGTCATAAAACCTAAAAATGTTACTCTAATATTTCCCTCTATCTTTCTGTGTAAAACTAGCCATAAAGAAATTATCTGCCCTACCTTGTTTGATTGTAGGTCATAAGACCCATGTTCCAGAGAGGGTCCTCCTGCCCCATGTTCAGAAGGAAGGCATGCATGGTCAGAGAGACCAAGAAGGATATAGACAGACAGGCCTTGCTGGGTTTCCCCCGCTCAATCTATTAGCATTAGAGTATGCCCTTACTGTCCAATCATATTTCTACACGGCTGTCCATACTTTGTTGAACCAAAACATAAAAATGGACAATTTCCTTTCATTCTGAAGGCTTTCATGTATACATGTTAAATAAATTTGTATGCCTTTTCTCCCATTAATCTGTTTTATGAGTGGATCTGTAGTGAACCTTCAGAAGGCTAAGGGGATCTCTGCCCCTTGGACTTCTTGGTCCCCACAGTGTGTGTGTATTGAAGCACAGAAATACATCTAGAGAAAAATCTGTTTGCAAGTCATTATCAATGAAGAGACAACACAAATTTTTAGTTACTTTTTCCTGTTATTTTTGGACTTTTGAAACCATGTGTAAACTATAATACAATTAAATATAATACTGAAATGAGATCAAGTATAATCAACTAAAATTATAAATAATCTTAAAGCTTTGCACCTTGCATGCTTTTTTCAGACAAAAACAAAAAGTTGTTGGATAAGGAAATACAGTCATTCTGCAAATAGCTCAAGAAGGTTAGTGCTCCAGTGATGATTTTCTCAGCTATATATCTTGGTTTTTTATAGCCTCTTTGATAAGAACTAACTCTACTACAGCCCCATCTCCTCTGAAGTTTTTCTCTCTGAATTCCTATTACCCTCAGAATTTGTACCACAGGGCTGGATGCAGTGGCTCATGCCTATAATCCCAGCACTTTGGGAGACCAAGAAAGGATTGCTTGAGGCCAGGAGTTCAAGAATATGTACCATACCATTTAAGAACCTTAAAATGTCCCTGCTTGGGAGGCTGAGGTGAGAGGATTGCCTGAGCCCACAGGTTTGAGATAAACCTGGGAAACTTGGAGAGACCTCATCTCTACAATTAAAAAAAAAATTAGCTGGGTGTGGTGGCGCATACCTGTGATTCCAGCTACTTGGAAGCCTGAGGCAGAAGAATTGCTTGAACCCAGCAGGTTGAGGCTGCAGTGGCCATGAGCGTGCCACTGCATTGCAGCAGCCATGAGCATGCCACTGCATTGCAGCCTGGGTGACAGAGTGAGACTCCGACTCAAAAAAAAAAAAAAAAAAATCCTTGCAATGAGCTTTCTTTTGGTATTATATGTGCTAGTTTGTCTTGGAAACCCAATTACCCAATTATAAGCTGTTTTAGAGCAGGCACTGTGTCAAATTCTCTGATATTTACCACAGTTGTTGCCATAGCAGAGGATATATAGTTTTTTCTTAATAAATACCCTTTGACTGAATGACTGACTCTAGATCCAGTATTAGCCAGGATAGGCCATCTTGTGTTGCAATAGTACAAGAACAACTTCTTTTTGAGTTGGAGTCTCACTCTGTCGCCCAGACTGGAGTGCAGTGGCCGCTCCCGGCCACCACAGCCTCGACCTGCTGGGTTCTGGCGATCCTTCCGCCTCAGCCTTCCGAGGAGCCGGAATTACAGGCGCGCGCTACCACGCCCGGCTGATTTTTGAATTTATTGTAGAGATGAGGTCTCGCTGCCCAGGCGGGTCTCAAACCCGCGGTTTCAGGCAATCCACTCACCTCAGCCTCCCAAAGGTGCGGGATTACAGGCTGAGCCACCAAGCCCGGCTTAAGAACAACTTTTTTTTTTAAGATGTGGGGTACAACTCAGGGGTTAGGTACATAAGTGGTCATCGTACAGGTGAAGTTTGGCCTTCCTACTGGTCCTCACTTCGCCTGGTTTGGGATCAGGTACCCTTATTAGTGTTATATGCCCCCCCCCTTTGTCAGTGACCCACTACTACCAATCTCTTTCATGTAGTATTATGATCAATGTTCAGGGTCCACCAATGAGTGAGAACATGTGGTACTCAGTTCTTTGTTTCTGTGAGAGATCACTCAGTATGATGGACTCTAGTTCCATCCAAGTTGCTGCAAAGTCCATGCTTTTAAGTCCTTCTTTATAGCTGCATAATGAAGATTATGCATCGTGTATATGTACACTTTTTTTTTATTCAGTCCACTTTCAATGGGCAGCACAGTTGGTTCCATGCTTTGTGCAAGAACAGCTTAACACAGGATTTCAGTGACTTAGCACACAGTGGTTTATTTCCTGTTCATGAAAGGCTATATGAACTGGTAGGGACTGTTCTCTATTCAGTGACTAGGCAGCCAGGTTTTCTTCACCTCCAGACTCCACGATGTCATCCCATTGCTTCAAAGTTTGCTGTAACAGGAAAGAAAGAAATGAAGAAGCCACATTGACTCTTAAGTGCCTCAGACTAATTCTGTTCAAATTTCCATTTTTCAGAATTCGTTTTATGGCCCCAGTCTAGCCACAAGGGAGGCCAAAAAATGCAAGGGGGCGTATAAAGGTTTCAGAGCACAGAACCAATCATGCTGCCCATCAAAAGAGGACTGGATTAAAAAATATGGTACATATACATGATGGGATATTATGCAGCCACAAAGGAGGACAAAATTATGAACTTAACAGCAACTTGGGTGGACTTAGAGTCTATAATACCAAGTGATCTGCCACTGAAACAAACAACTGAGTACCACATGTTCTCACTCATTTGTGGACCTTGAACAATTATCATAATACTATAAGGAAGGGATTGGCTATAGTAGAAAACTGCCAGGGTAAGGGCACACCTTATCAACAAGGGTACATATATAATGAAAATTTGTATACCTAACCCTTAACTGTACCCCACATCTTTAAAATTAAAAATTAAAAACAAAACAAAACAAAAAAAGATTCCAGAGCACTAATTGTCTGTGGTATACATCTATGTTACAACTTTCTGCAAGATAACTATGCCAGCTAGTTAATGCCTCATTAGAGTTCAAGGGACCAGTAGTCACATGAACCATTAAACTTGGCTCAGAAGGCAGGTGGGATTAACGGTAGTCAATATCTGTCTGGGGATGGGGCGGGGGCACACCTCATCAGCAAGGGTACCTCCACAATGCATATTTGTATACCTAACCCTTAACTATACCGCACAATTTTAAAATAAAAAATATGTATTAAAAAAAGAAAACCAACATAAGACAAATAAAAAAAAAAGAAAACCAACATAAGACAAAAAAAAAAAACTTGGCTCAGTTTGTTAGTAACCATGTGTGATATAAACTATTAGTATTCAGAATGTATTCACTCAGTATGCATTTACTGAGTGCCCACCGTGTGCCAGGCACCATTCTAGGTCTTGGAAATATAGCAGGGAGAATAAAACTGGTCAGAAGTCCTTATACGAACAGAATTGAATTTCTAGTGGAAGAAAAGAAACAATTAACAAACACTGTATAGAGAATGTTAGTGGATGATCAGTATTGGAGAATAATAAAGTAGGGAGGGAAATAGGGCATGTGTTGGTGTGGAGAAGCAGGCTGGATTGTGATTTTAAATAGATTGATTAGGGAAAGTCTTAGCGAGAAGGTAATATGGGAGCAAATGCCTGGAGGTGAGAGGCCAGTCATTTTGGTGCCAGGGCAAAGAGCCATCCTGTAAGAGGAGATGCATGCAAAAATCTCAAGATGGGAGTGAGGGATAGACGCAGAGTGCCTGGGATGTCTGGTGAATGGCAAGGAAGCAAGGTGGTTGCAGCAGTTGTACAAGAGGGGGGAGTTGTTGGACTGGGCATTTGTTGGATACAGACTGTGAAGAGCCTTGTATGTTACTTTAGGGTCGGTGGCTTCTGCTCTGTAACATATGAAGCCATTTAGGGGTTTGGAGGAGAGGAATGACATTATCACTCTGGCCACTGTGTTGGGGATAGGCTGTAGGGACAAGGGCAAAAGCAGGCAGACTCGGTTGGAGGTGACTGCCAAATTTCAGGTAAGAGATGGTGGTGGCTTGGACCATTTCCATCACTCTAAAAAGTTGAAGGGCCAAATTTTAAAAGTGTGATGCATAAAATTAAGATGGTTTTTCCTAGTAAGATTTTTAGCATACAGCCTAATTATAATACAATGTATTATTACCATGAGTCTGATATTCTGTCATTTCATTAGAGTCAAAAAACTTTTATTCAACATCAACTGCCTGCTGGGTCCTCTGATCAGCACTGGGACAAACAAGACCTGATCTTTGCTTTTTGGGAGTTTATAGTGTAGCAAAATTATAGAAATCACCAAGAAGTATAACGTCTTTGACTCCAAAAACAACCACAGCATCAGAAACTTATTACTACATAATTATGATGGAAATAGCCTAGACTTGTAAACTGTTTTCTATATGCTAGACAGACCAATGCATATGATGATGATGATGACGAATGGTTGTTATAATTATTGTATTTTGTTGCTATATACCATAATGTTATAAAGTTAGAAAACTGAGGAGTAAAATCCTACTATAACTGTCTAAAAGTGATATTTCTGTGCTCTACAACCCAGCATTACCAAGAATTTTGCCACCTTAGTTCCAATCTAAAACTCAGCCCCAAAAATGCATGTTCCATTTTTTCCAATGTTACTAGTACTACAGCCTTGCTGATTTGCCAGCCTATTTAAGTCCTCTTCATTGCATGTTTTTTTTTTCCTTTTAATTATCTGCTTTGAAGATTAAGCTGAAACTGCTGCTCAGCTCCCAAGATGGTGCCATCCAAATTGCATGCGCTTTTCTGCCTCTGCAGCTGCCTCGCACGGGTTTATCCTTTTGACTGGCAAGACCTAAGTCCTGTTACCCAAGTTAAATCATCAGGTAAGAGGTATATTTGTTCAGGGACTTGATCAACTGATCTGTCAACGGACTCCAAGGGGCCCCAGAGAAGGTGCACATCTGCACTTCTAAGCAAGTCCTGTTAAGAAATGAGCATGGAAACCTTCTATTTTCTGGGGTAGGAGAGAGGGCCTCGTTTTTTCTTTATTTCAACTGAAACTAAAGAAGCATGTGTGTTCTTCAATATCATAACTGCTAAATAGAACCAGGATGAGACATTTTTAAAACACACTGGAAGCTCAGCTTGCAATCACTGTGGAGAATGTTCCCAATGCTGCCCCTTCTCTTCCACTATGGTCTAACACACTCCTACCCAAGTGCACTAACATGATTGCCTTGGAGTTCATGTCAAGAGCCTCAAAATCTGCTTCCATGAAGGTGGAGGAGAGGCAGGTGTCTTGATCAGCAAGCATAGTCCTGGTTAGTAGTGGAGAGTGGTGTGAGGAGATTACCTTTTAGGGTCATGAGAACCAAAGGGAAACCATCTTTTCTACCTAATAACAGGGAGAAGTGGGGCATGTAGGCTCTAAGATACTCCAGATGAGAATGGACATGATCACTTGCTCTTTCCTACCTTGTGGTAAGAGAGAAGGAAAGAAGAGGAAGACTTAAACCCAGGAGAGTAGCCATCTCTAGACAGTATATCCAGTGTCATTAAAAAGGACCTTTACTGCCAAGAGTTTGCTTCTAGAACCTTGCAAACTCCTGTTCAGAGGAGTTGTAATGCACGAACTTCTTTCGCCAGTCTCCTACAGAGAGTAGTGTAGGTAGCTTCTGAATAGTGTCATACTGCCAATACTGCAGGCCTGTGCACCTGGATAGATGTGATTACTCTGGATCTAGTTGTTCAGGCTTGATGGGTGACTGCTTACCATTGCATTTACAAAAGAGCTTTCACAACTTAGTGACTTATAGATACGTTTTGCCCTACTTCATAACTGGGGAATGAATGTATTAGGAGAGGGACTATATTTTGTATCTACATTTGCATAGGAAATGGAGTAACAGCTCATAGGTTCATTCATCTTACAACATTATCAGGAAGTTAAGGCTTCAGGGATATACTGGTGACTAAGACAAAGAGCCTGTAATCAAATTCAAGGATCTTGTAGCCTAGATAAAATTAAGTTCGTTTTTCCCATTACCTTTTACACAGATTGAAAACAGGTACATCCTACATGATGGGCAAACTATCATCTAGGAGACATTTATATTATTCACCTTTCACTGGTACAGGGCAAACATTTCAAAACATGGTTTTGTTTTGTAAGTTGGCGTCTCATGCTGTTGCCCAGGTTGGAGTACAGTGGCATGCTCATGGCTACCATAGCCTTCACTGGCTGGGCTCAGGTGATCCTTCCACCTCACCCTTCCAAGTAGCTGGAACTACAGGAAAGCACCACCACGCCCGGCATTTTTTTTCTTATTTACTGTAGAGACGAGGTCTCACCCAGTTGTCCTAAGATTATAGGCTTAAGCCACCGCACCCGGCCTCAAAACATGTTTTTTATTCCCTTATGTTAAAAATCATTGGAAATCTGTTGATGGATTGGCAGAAACTTGAGGACAGGGACATTTTTAAATTCTTCTTTTAGTCCAAGCATTGAGCCCTATGCACTACTCATTCTAAGTGCTCACAAATGAATACGTAAATATTGCTTAAAGCATTAGAAATTGATTATTAAGTAAAATATTTAAATGATAGATAATTCTTTATAAATTCTAACTAGATGAGTACAGTTAAAACATGGCTTTTCAGGTAAAAGTTTTGTAACTGTGAGCGAGAGAGATCCTATTTGCTAATGGAGGGCATAGAGGTATCATTTTCCTAGTCTGTGTAAGAGATGTCATTTTTCTAGCCTGTGTATGATTCATCTCCAAACCCAAGAATGAATATCAGGAATATCTGATAAATGAACACCACCAAAAATATATAATATGATGAATAACATACTATAGGTTCCAATCTTCCTATTAAAAATAAAGTTGAATAAAAATAGGAAGAGAAATTTATAAGTTCTGAACCACAAAACTATGCGTGGCCATTGGGCCTGAGAAGCCTCCTCCCTCCACCTTCTTTGTGATGACTACTGATGGATGGTTAGGGAATGAGAAGCCCAGCCCCAAGAGAGGGTCAACTATGGGTTGTTGAGTCTTTTCCATGGTCTCCCAGACACTGGTCCACAGGACCCTATGGATACATACCAAAGCCTAAGTCTGCTCAGTGTTTCCTGAGACCCTCTTAGGAGTCTGGCATCCTGGAACAGGCAGACCTGTAGTCTCACCTTGACCTGTGACTCCTGAAGTCTGATTGAGGAACCTTCTCAGGTAGAGTGGGTTTTGGACAACCAGGGCACTTCTAGCTTACTGGAAAAGCGTATTTCTGGGTCCTCAGTGGACCTGAGAGCTCACAAGCAGAGCCTTGTGCAGAGTGGAACCTTCTCATGGCTCTAGATCTGAACCCCTAATTCTAGATTTAGTGTCTCCAAGTCAGCTCCTCACTGAGCTATGTGATCCAGAGGTCTTCCCTACCAACCCCCATGACTGCCTGTGGGCATGGGTGTGGCGGCTGGCAGGCTGGCTATCACAGAAGGAAAGGCAGTTGTCACCTGCCCTACCTACCATCCTCTTCAGGACTTTATATTTCCATGTTACACCAGGAGCATGACTCAGTAGATAATCTTTATTGGAAGAGGAAGAGTCTTTTGTAATTTTAAATAGACATTGAACTCTTTCAAGTTTAAAAAAAATCTCTAAGAAAGTACCTCAAATTTTGAATCTCCTCAAAAAGAAAGTGGCATGTTCCCGTTTAGATCTGCTAAAACTCCCCTAAGGACTTCACATGGATTTGGCTAGCCAGAGTTTATTAACTCTGGGGAAGGGGAAAAATAACACCTGTTACGTGTTGTATTCTACACTAGGTATTTGACCTAAATTCTCACCTCATCCTTACAACTGTTCTGCAGGCTGGTCGAGTGTTTTTATGCCATTTTCCAAATAAGAATCAGAGAGGGGAGAAAATTGCCTAGGCCAGGGTATTGGAGCTTGTAAGAAGTACAACTGAAATCTGAAATAGAATCACCTGGACCTAATACCCAGAGTCTTTGTCTCGACTCCCCTCCTTCTGCCTTCCTTGGAACTACCTTTTACCATTTGACCATAGATTGCTGACCTGCGTGTCAGTACAGGTGGTCTAAGACTTGGGTTCAGTGTCCCTTAAACTTTAATGGGCATACCTTTTCAGATGCAGCAGAATGAGGATGAGGTTGGAGAGCCTGCATTTCCAAGCTCTAGGTGGCACCAGTGATGCTGGCTTATGGATCATACTACTTTGAGTCGCAGAGGTATTAAGGATTAAAAAGCTTCATCACTGTGCAGCTGTCTCACTCATGAGTCACCAGTGTGGAGGATGCAAGTTGGTTTCTTCCCATGACTCAAAACCTCTCTGGACAATGCCCACAATATTGATGCAGGTGTACCAACATAGCTCTTGATGCCTGGCTGGCAGAGGCAGAGTGTGATGGAAAACACAGAGAGTCTGTCCAGTGGAAGTGATCAACTCCCACAGTCCAACAGAAGGAAGGGGTGGGCAAGACAATGTGCTGAGAAAGGCGAGAAGCTGGATATACTGATATTTGGACTCAAATCTTGAAGCTAAATGTGGATTCAATTGGGGTTTAGAAAGGAAGGAAACAAGCCAGGCTCGGTGGCTCAGCCTATAATCCTGCGCCTTGGGAGGCTGAGGTGAGTGGATTGCCTGAGCCTGTGGGTTCGAGACCCACCTAGGCAACTTGGCGAGACCTCATCTCTACAATAAATCAAACGTTAGCCGGGCGTGGTAGCATGTGCCTGTAGTTCCAGCTACTTGGAAGGCTGAGGCAGAAGGATCGCTGGAGCCCAGCAGGTCGAGGCTGTGGTGGCCGGGAACGGCCACTGCACTCCAGTCTGGGCGACTGAGTGAGACTCCAACTCAAAAAAAAAAAGAAAGGAAAAAAACAGATGAAGCTGCAGGTGTGTGGAAAGGTTTTGGCACCAGAGAGAAAAAAGGAGTTTCAGGAGTGGATGGGTAAAAGACTGTGTATGATCAAGGGCTTGAAGAACAGAAGAGGGCTGTGGCAGTTTGGGTTAGCTCAGCTCATTTTCACAAATATTTATGGAGCACTGACTATATGTCAGATGCTGTGTTAGCTCAGAGGGTGCAAAGACATGGGTACGGCTCTTGAGAAATAAACTGGTGTAACATACAAACACATACATTTCATATAATGTGATAGGAAGAAGGACTATATATAATCTATGTGATACTGAAGATGAAATGATTATTTCTGTCTGGGAAATCAAGGAAGTCTCCAGAGAAGACATGACATCTGTCAAGGGGATTTTAAGCAGTAGCATTTACGAAGGTGCAGAGGCAACAAATAGCCCAGTGTACAGCTCATGAGTGCCGTAATACAAGGAAGGGAAATAACTTAAGGGGAAGATTCAGGAGAATGAGGTAGTGGGCCTCCAATTGCAGAGGATCTTTCTTTCTTTCTTTCTTTTTTTTTTTTGAGTTGGAGTCTCACTCTGTTGCCCAGACTGGAGTGCAGTGGCCGCTCCCGGCCACCGCAGCCTTGACCTGCTGGGCTCCGGTGATCCTTCTCCCTCAGCCTTCCGAGTAGCCGGAATTACAGGCATGTGCTATCACGCCCGGCTGATTTTTTGATTTATTGTAGAGATGAGGTCTCACTGCCCAGGCGGGTCTCGAACCCACGGGCTCAAGCAATCCACTCACCTCAGCCTCCCAAAGGCGTGGGATTACAGGCTGAGCCACCCAGCCTGGCTTTGGATCTTTCTTACAATGCCCAGGAACATGGGATTTAACTTGAGCACCCATGAACCTCAACTGTTTTAGCCCCAGGACATTATAAGGATGGGCCACATATGTGCCTCACTTAGCAGTGTATTTATTTAGAAAGGCATGTGTAGACTTAAATTCCTCCTACAACTACCTTCGGGGCACAATATTCACTATCTGGAGACCCAGTCTCCACCACTACACAATATGTCCATGTAACAAATACACATGTACCCCCAAAATCTAATTTTTAAAAAATAATTAATTAATTAAATCCCTCCTACAAACTGCCTTCCAGAAAGGTGCCCATACATTCCTCCTGCAAGAAAAAATACTTGGTGATAGGAAGTCATCAAAGGATTTTAAGAATTGCCTAGTGAGATTTGTATTTTAAGTCATTCCAGGAGCTGTGTAAAAGGTGTGTTGAAGAGGCCATGACCCAAAGAAGATAGGACTGTTAGGAGAGATGGCAACAGCCTGGTCAAGAATGTATAAATGAGACTATTGAGCAGAGGGTCAGAGAGATATTGAAGAGATATTCTAAACTAAAACTGTTAAAAATTAAGACTTGGTTGATTGCTGGGGGTTGTGGGAGAAAGAGATAGGAGAGTAGATGATTCCTAGGTCTCTAGCTTGAGATGTGGGGAATTCTTGAGTTGCAGGCTGTGTGAGTTAGCGGGTGAGAAAAGGGAGTTGGGAGACGATCATTTAGTTGTATTTTGGACCATTGGTTTTAATGCTTTTATGGCCTCAGGTAAAGATGCCCAGTGAGAAACTATAAGCACAAATCTGAAATGTGAGTAACAGTTCATGTTTAGGAAAAACAGATTTAGGAAGCCATCTTTGCTATACTCTAGATAAAAGAAGGTGAGGGTGAGGCTGTAGGCATTTGGAGGTAATAGTCTTAGGCCTCTTGGAGAAGGACTATGTCTACCTTCATCTTTTTACCCTCCAAACCCTCCTTCTCCCATTACCCCCACCCCCAGTGCTCTGCACACAGCGAGTGCTCAATAATTTTACTTGTGCATTTTACTAGTTAGGTTAAGAAAGAAAGGAGGCCAGAAAATATGGGCCATAACTTGATTCCCTTAGAGTTTCTTTGCATAATAAAGTCTGGGGTGTAATGAATGACAAATGAGAGAATATTTACTTGTTTTTCAGCATGGGTCAATAAAATACAAGCACTGATGGCTGCTGCAACCTTCGGTCAAACTAAAATCCCCAAAGGAAATGGGTCTTATTCTGTTGGTTGTACAGACTTGATGTTTGATCACACTAATAAGGTAATGCTTTGATTAGCGCAACTCATCCTTATATTCTAAAATTGACTGTTGCTATGGCATGAAAAAGTGTTGAAACATAACCTTGCCCTCACCTGAGAATTACTCATTTTGCTATTTGTATTGCTTCCTATGAAGGTTTGTGCTGGTTTAGTCATTCCCCCAATTCTTTGCTGTTATCTGATTAATTCATCTATAAACTCTATTTTCCACTTACTTAATGGCTGAAACCAGGCTGTTCATATATTCTTTTTAATGAGAAAACGTTTGTTTTTCTGTTTGTATTCTCTTTCATAACTGTATTCAATCACCACAGCAACTTTAAAAGTACTCTAGACCTCTTTCTGAACAATTAGTGGATCCCCACTAATTAAATGTGTAAACTAGTGGCTGGAATATATTTAAGGAATAACTCAACTAAAAGAGCATTAATTTCCTTCCTCCACAGGGCACCTTCTTGCGTTTGTATTATCCATCCCAAGATGATGATTACCTTGACACTGTCTGGATCCCAAACAAAGAATATTTTTTGGGTCTTAGTAAATTTCTTGGAACACACTGGCTTATGGGCAAAATTTTGAGCATGTTATTTGGTAAGATTTCTGTTAATCCTATTTTGTAGGCTCTAGAATATAAGAAAACTTTGAAAACAACGCAGCTTTTCAGCTTTTAAGACCAAGGTAGATTTTCTTCAGTCTAAACTCCTGTGATGACAAGAAAAGTATTTATTTTTTAAAAAATTAGTTTATTTATTATAAAGATGTGGGGTACAATTCAGGGTTAGGTATACAAACATTGATCATGTAAGTACCCTTGTTGATGAGGTATGCCTCTCCCTCCCCTAGCAGTTTCTCTCATCTATCATACTCAGTGATCTATTACAAAAACAAAGAACCTGAGTTCCATATATTCTCACTCATAAGGTGATCTTGAACAATTATAATGCTATAAGAAAGCAATCGGCAGTAGTGGAAAACTGTCGGGGCGGGGGGGCGGGGTAGGGGGTGCTGGCAGTTGAGGAAAGTATTTCTTAAATGCCTAGGCAACTCTGAGAGAGTCAGGGTTCTCATTCTGTCCATTTTGAATTTGATGGATTTGGCTGAGAATATCAGCCTGACATCTTTGACATCTTTCCATTGCTGCTCTTTATTTGTTTGTTTGTTTGTGTGTTTGTTTTTGAGTCAGCCAGGCTGGAGTGCAGTGGCATGATCATGGCTCACTATAGCCTTGACCTTCTAGGCTCAGGCGATCCTCTTACCTCAGCCTTCCAAGTAGCTGGGACTACAGGCACGTGCCACCAAGCTTAACTAATTTTTGAATTTTTTTGTAGAGACCTAGGCTGGTCTCAAATTCCTGGGCCCAAATGATCCTCCCACCTTGGCCTCCCAAAGTTCTGAGACTACAGTCATGAACCACTGTGCCTGGCTAAGACTGCTCTTTAGTTGTCCTTCTTATATAATGTGGGGAGAGCAATAATATGGTGACAATAGCAGTTTCTCTGCTGTGACCACTTCCCTGAGTGCTTTGTACTTAAAGTAAAACCAAAAGAGAAAGTAGAAACCCATACTCGCCAGATGCAAAACAAAGGAGTCAATGTTAAAATCTTATTTGCCATAAATGAAGAGACTCTATTTGTGTTCCCAGTACCTACCCCAAGGGACCAGTCTCTCTGACTAAGACAATCTGCAGTGCATTCATCACTTAATTCCTGTTTAATATAGATTTTCCTTCCTCATCTGTTTTACCAGACACTACTATTGGGCTGGCATTAACTATATCTTCAAATGCCTCCCTCAAAACTACCTACGACTTTGGGGATTCATTTAAGCTTCTTATTAGAGTTTTCTTAAAAACCACTTTATAATAGAAATGATTAAAATACCATAACTACACATATTGAGCATGCAGAATAACTCATAAATCACTTCCATAGCAATAATCACATTCAGTCTTCATGACCACATCTCCATTTTATAGATGAGAAAGTAAAACACAAATAATTGCTAATAATGACAATAACAAAAGAAGTGAAGGAAGAGAAGACAATATTTTCTCTTTGTGAGTCCCTTACTATGTGATGGATAGGTGCTTTACATATTGACTTAAATAAAATTCTCACAAGACTCTATGAAACAGTTAACATTTCCTCAATTTTGCAGAAGGGGAATCTGACATTAAAATAGTTTGAAGAACTTGCCTGAGGTCAACATCTAATAAGTGGGAGAGCCGCATCCAAAGCTACGTCTCAGTATGAAGTCAATGGTTTCTCTACCTCTCACTGCCTCATGATCAAATCATGAGAAGAGTCTCTGATTTTTAGATTTTGACTCTCAGTAAAATGTTTCTGGGATTTACTCAGTAGTTTGGTCTCAGATCACTTCATTAGAAGTTTTTCCCAATCCTGAGACTAGTAATAAGTAGCAGTCTTTGGAAATCCACTTGTTAGTAAGAAAATCTCTCACCTTACATTCAGAGCCAGCTGTGAGAACTGATAACTAATAATCCCATGCTCTGAGAAATGAACACACAGGTCTTTGGTTGGTGGGTCTCTAATAGCAGACTTTTTAATACATTCATTGTGAATCCATAAAAACACGGCTACAAATCCCATGGGTCAGGATTTTCTGTTAGTGAGATGTAAGTTAAATTAACTTGCAGCATAAGGTCAGAGAAAACATTAACTGTGATCTCCCATTGTGTCTAGGTTCGATGACAACTCCTGCAACCTGGAATTCCCCTCTGAGAACTGGTGAAAAATATCCACTTGTTGTTTTTTCTCATGGTCTTGGAGCATTCAGGTAATGTTTGAGAGGCTGAACAATTTTAACCTTTAGGAATCAATGACTTTTTTTTTTTTTGAGTTGGAGTCTCACTCTGTCGCCCAGACTCGAGTGCAGTGGCCGCTCCCGGCCACCGCAGCCTCGACCTGCTGGGCTCCGGCGATCCTTCCGCCTCAGCCTTCCAAGTAGCCGGAATTATAGGCATGCGCTACCATGCCCAGCTGATTTTTTGATTTATTGTAGAGATGAGGTCTCGCCTGCCCAGGCGGGTCTCGAACCCGCAGGCTCAGGCAATCCACTCACCTCAGCCTCCCAAAGGTGTTTTTTGTTGTTGTTGTTGTTGTCGTTATTGTTTAATAGTAAAAGTTTGAGCTGGGCTTGGTGGCTCAGCCTGTAATCCCACGCTTTGGGAAGCTGAGGTGAGTGGATTGCCTGAGC